ACGCATACACTGTAATACACATTTAGATAATGACACACTACTACACACAAACTCATACAGACAGTATATTCACATAATCAGGGGCGTATTAGCCGCGAGGCAAACAAGGCATTTGCCTTGGGCGGCATTTTTCAGGGGGCGGCAAAAAAGCCGCCCCCAAATGCCCAGGGCAAATGCCTAGTTAGCCTCGCGGCTAACAGACATGCCGGGCTGGGCTGAGCGGGCGGGCGGTGACGGAGCTCTTCCCCTGAGCTGTCCGCTCAGCTCCCTCGCGCGCCGCAAAGTGAGGCTGGGAGCCGGAATATGACGTCATCTTCCGGCTCCCAGCCTCACTCTGCTGGCGGCACGAGAGGGAGCTGAGCAGAGCGCTCAGGGGAAGAGCTCCCTCGCCGCCCGCCCAGCGCCACCAGCCCAGCCCGACCGACAGCCACTGGACCCCAGGACCCCAGGGAGAGGAAGAACCCCCCCAGCATTCCCAAAGGTAAGGAGGCTGGGGGGGTTAAATTAAAAAAAAAAAACACAAGTGAATGTGTGTGTGTGTATCTGTTAGTGTGTGTGTGTGTGTGTGTGTGTGTTATCTGTTAGTGTGTGTGTGTGTGTGTGTATCTGTTAGTGTGTGTGTGTGTGTTAGTGTGTGTGTGTCTGTTAGTGTTAGTGTGTGTATGTTAGTGTTAGTGTGTGTATGTTAGTGTTAGTGTGTGTATGTTAGTGTTAGTGTGTGTGTCTGTTAGTGTGTGTGTGTGTGTGTGTCTGTTAGTGTGTGTGTGTGTCTATTGGTGTGTCTGTCTGATGATGTGTGTGTCTGTTAGTGTGTCTGTTAGTGTGTGTCTGTTAGTGTGTGTGTCTGTTAGTGTGTGTGTGTATATTGTCATTGAGTGTGTGTGTCTGTTAGTGTGTCTGTCTGTTAGTGTGTGTGTGTCTGTCTGTTAGTGTGTGTGTGTTTGCCTGTTAGTGTGTGTGTGTGTTTGCCTGTTAGTGTGTGTCTGTTAGTGTGTGTGTGTGTTTGCCTGTTAGTGTGTGCCTGTTAGTGTGTGTCTGTTAGTGAGTGTGTGTTTCTGTTAGCTAGTGAATGCGTATCTGTCAGTGAATGTGTGTGTATTTAGAAGGCGGAGCAGGGGGGAAGGGTTGGGTGGCGGTTGCGCGGGTGGGGGTAGCACGGGGGGGGTGCCTGAGTTTTGTCCTGCCTAGGGCAGCACAAAACCAGGATACACCACTGCACATAATGCTCTACGCACAGTCAGACAAAGTACAAACATTGTAAGTATTTTATTAATGATTTATGGAATTTTCTCCTTCCAAATGTTCTCATTCTTTTACGTATGTCGATGCCACGCAAATATAATTAATTATGCAAATTAGCATGGCCTGTATTTTTTTCCAAAAAAGGCGGCAACCCTACTTGTCACGTATGTCATTACCGTTACACTCAGGAAAAAGGATACACACAAAAAGAAGGGTCCAAGAAGCAGTATTACCAAACCTCAGAGTGGCCGGATTTAACTGATTATAAGAGAGAATCAAAGTTGGGAGTAGCTGAGGTCAGGAATACAGAGTTACGGATACACGAAAAACAAGCCAGGTAAGGATAATAGGTCAATATACAAGCCGGGTCAGGATACCAGAAATACACAGGTCAATATACAAGCCCAG